AACATTATGCAGAAAAAATCGATGGATATGAATGATAGATTCTCACTCACTCACTCATGCAGTATTCTGTTGAGCACTATAGATATAGGAATGTCACTCACTCATGCAGTATTCTGTTGAGCACTATAGATATAGGAATGTCACTCACTCATGCAGTATTCTGTTGAGCACTATAGATATAGGGAGCACTATAGATATAGGGATGTCACTCACTCATGCAGTACTCTGTTGAGCACTATAGATATAGGGATGTCACTCACTCATGCAGTACTCTGTTGAGCACTATAGATATAGGAATGTCACTCACTCATGCAGTATTCTGTTGAGCACTATAGATATAGGAATGTCATTCACTCATGCAGTATTCTGTTGAGCACTATAGATATAGGAATGTCACTCACTCATGCAGTACTCTGTTGAGCACTATAGATATAGGAATGTCACTCACTCATGCAGTATTCTGTTGAGCACTATAGATATAGGGATGTCACTCACTCATGCAGTATTCTGTTGAGCACTATAGATATAGGAATGTCACTCACTCATGCAGTATTCTGTTGAGCACTATAGATATAGGGATGTCACTCACTCACTCACTCATGCAGTATTCTGTTGAGCACTATAGATATAGGAATGTCCGACATGATGGTAATTTAGAAAGGTTATTTTAGGAGGGTGCTTGTTACATCAATGACATGTTCTATTTTCCCAGTTGTTGATGGCATTTTGTTCATTGCTGTGTTTAATGTTAGTACTTGACAGTAACATACTTGACAGTCCCTGCTAACACTACTTGACAGATCCAGGTTTTTGAGAATGAAGACTGCAGACTATACCCAAGTCACATGAACAAAAACATGATAAGTTGACATTGTAAATAGATCCACCTGAGCTACTTACATCTTTACTGGGCAAGACATAAAGAGATCAAGTTATAAGTCTGTCGACTGCATGGAGAATAAGTCTATATGGAGTCATTTATTAACTGGTTATTCAGATTTTGTGATGAAGTGATCTGCCATATCTGTTCTGTCATGCAATGTTTTGTTCTAGCCACAACTTTCCCCCTTCACGATTCCAAATGTTGTTTACTGTGACCTGATAAGAGCTATATCGTGTGATTGGTTTTGCACCTTCCAGAGCACAGTGTGATTTATTACTCTATAAAGCCTAGGAAACTCACAGTTGCGAGATCGCGGATAAAAAATAATCGTTTGAAGACTTGGCAGGTTCAGGCGGGCGAACATGACTAAGAGCATTCTTGTGTAGATTCTATTGATATGCATTGAGCTTATCAAGCTACAGCGTGTACAAATGATCCATTGATGAAATAATTTTCTCTTAAATATAATCAGAGCAATCAGTGTTGAAAATCAATAAATTTGATCAGAACTCGAGTCTGGCCGACATCATGCGTTCAAGGTATTGATTCTGGGAGTAAGCAAATGTTTCGGGATTTACTTGATTATGGAGCCACCCTGTTGAGTCAGAGAGGGAAGTACTGTCAATATGGTGAAGACAATGTAATAATTTGGTGCTACATGGTGGAGGTAATGACTGCTTTATAACATTTGTTAGCATTCGTTAACTGTATGGGAGTTCACTGAGTGGTCTGTGATTGTTATTGATATTTAACACACCTATGTTTGTAATAGACTGCATCCTGGATACTGTTCTGAAATAATTAGATCAATAGCTTACCCTTCAAAGGTATTGTTCAGAAGAAATAAAAAATGTAAAACATATATGGGGGTCCTGGGGTAGATAGTAAGAGCACACTAAAGTTCCACAGTCTGGACCCAGAAAACCAGTACTAAGTAGAAGGACTTGCCACAGAGCAAGAAATAGGGTTGGGTACCACAAAAATTTCAGTACCCACGGTATTTACCAAGGTTTTGTTCAAGTACCCACGGTATTTACCACGATATACCGTGCTGCAGCAACTAACTACTAACTAATGAATCCAATTGTCTTGTTTAATGATTTTGAATGAATCGGACCATGAAGTAATGTCATAACTATAATAAACAAGTATGAACAATACAAAAGTGTTTTAGACTTTTCTGGGAATTTCAGTCATCACAACAGGAAACTTCCACAAGAAGATGAAATCTGAAAACTTCAAAACTGAGCTCACTGCCAAGTTCAACAACTCAAACATTATGAACAAAATAAACAATCTTGTTAATTCCAATAAGTCAACAACAACTTGGCAATATCACAAAATGGCTTCACAAAAATAACATTGACTAGAAACATTACAAGATTCACAGCTGAGAAATGAGATTCTTGATTCAGCATTATTCAGGTATTAAATTACTAGGAGTGCAAGTTTTAGTTTGCAAAAACACTCATCACTCATCACTGGTCATCAGTCATCAAACATCACAAAGAGGAAACTGAGATGATATCTTTCACTAACTTCCATGTGAAATTGAAAATTTCAAAACTCAACAACAAGTTAACAACAAATCTGTTAATCATCAATGCCATTGCTAGTACTTTTCATTGGAGTATTTTCTTCATTCAATCTACAATGGATAGCGGCATTTTAAAGAAACCATATAAAGAAAAACTGGTAAACCTCACATCTCTAGCAAGAAACTAGGAGTACTCAAGAGTGCCACCACATACGTGAAGACCCATGCTTGTTGTAAGAGGCGAGTAACAGGATCAGATGGTCAGGCTTGATGGCTTGGTTGACAGACACATCATCGTATCTTAATTGCACAGATTGATGCTCATGCTGTTGATCACTGGATTGTCTGGTCCAGACTCAATTATTTACAGACCGCCACCATATACATGTAGCTGGAATATTGCTGAGTCTGGCGTAAAACTAAACTCACTCACTCACTCACTAAAGTGCCATCATCTGGACCAAAAAAATCCAGTGACTGATAGGAGAAATAACATGGAGTGTCATAGTATGAATAAAAAGCAGTAACGATAACAATTTAATAAAATGGATCTAAAGCTTGCCATAGTCTGTCTCACAGTCCCCGAACCATATTATTTCCCCTTCCACCCATCCCTTTCTGCAATGCTGAAGCCAGGACTGAAGCAAGTCTAGATTTCCTCAGTTTCTGAATCTCCCATCTCCCTTGGGCTCCTTTTCAGTTTAAGAGGAAATGTTTGTTTCTATCAAAATTATATATAAGTATAAGTACTAGTCTAAGCATGTCGTTGTGGTGCATACCCCAAATGATACTGTGGGCTGTGTCACATGCAAACCCCAGTATCCACTATGAAGACGGTTCCCTGGATAATTAACAGACACTGTGAATCACGTATGCATTCGCAGGTAATATATGATTTGCGTGTCTGGGAAAGAAAGAATTATTTATTGGGCTCAGGAATAATATCACTTGGGCCCAGGAAAGGATTGTTGAATGACATGATTTTGCCATTATATTGATCAGTCTCATAAATCACTGTGTTAGACAGTCATATCATGGCTCAGTCGGGGGGATGGCGCTTGACTGACAGGTAGTCTGAGATGTCTGACAAGTTGATGAAGTGGCTGTGTGAGAGAAATTAGTAAGTCACATTAAGTAAAACAAGTGTTTCATGGCTGCATTGAGATAACAAATATGTGTATCCATTTATCGGTGCAGTCTGTGAAACATTATTTCTCGAAAAACAGTTTGATAGCAAGCGATAAAATTGTGTTTTGATTCCTTTTGTCAGATTGTCTTGATTTAGGTTTCGTACTACAATCAATTCACATGAACTGAAATTTAACTAGGGGCAAAGTAGGTCCATTTGAACCGTGGCTACAGTGAGTGAGTGAGTCAGGGTTACGTCTGGAATGGTATTCCAGTTACATCACAGCGTGTCAGCTTCATCCTGGACGAAACAAATCGACGACTTTGGTGAAACTGACCAGCTGCAGACTAAACTAGCACTATAATTGGATCTATTCAGGATTCATTCGTAACTACTCGTTGCTTTCCTTGACCTACAAGAGGACTTGTACCCGTATCATATGCCATTATTGCCAAGAATCGTGGCAAACCGATCAAATCGCATGGAGTAAAACACATTTCGAAGCATGAAAATGGTTGCCCCGTTGAACTTTGAAACTTCGCTAAACTATGCAGATCACAATATAAGCATAAACTTTGAGCTAAAGGTTCCGCAACTTTCAACACTGAAACATACTTGTTACTTTTCTTCTTGTCTTCTGGATTCAACAGTTCACCTGATGAAGGGACCTGGAATGGTCTCGAAACGTCGTGAGAGAAATTAAAAAAGAAGTTTAATCCATAAAAATATCTTGGACATCAATGTACAACTTCTAAATGCAACTGAAAGACATGTTCTATAGGGTTCCTGGTTCCAGACCCTTGAAGATCTGGGGTAGAATAGGTCTTCAGCAACCAATGCTTGCCACAAAAGGCGACTATACTTGTCGTAAGAGGCGACTAACAGGATCGGGTGGTCAGGCTCACTGACTTGGTTGACACATGTCATCGGTTCCCAATTGTGCAGATCCATGCTTATGCTGTTGATCAGTGGATTGTCTGGTCGAGACTCGATTATTTACAGACCGCCGCCATATAGCTGGAATATTGCTGAGTGCGGCACTAAACTCACTCACTCACTCTTGGTTCCAGATTTTTAATCAAATGGAATCTTGCACCTTAGTAGTAGCCTGTTAAAGTTTTTACTATCATTATTATCATGATAGTGTGATAGTTAGGAGAAGTGTTTGTTCACCAATCCGAGTTGCTACTATCCACTACACAGAGATGTTCCCCTAGATGTACCAGAAACCAGGATTGTGATGCAATGTCCCTGATTAGGATTGTTTTCTCAGGACCATGCCCATATTTGTGGTTTGTTGCTATGGTAATATAGGTTAAAGACCAGCTCCCATATTAAGCTGACATACCATGATGTAAGTGTACCAAACAGCCATACTGTACCAAACTCACATTTAGTCTCGTTAAATGTAACAATGTTCCAACTGTAAATGGTCCTTGTTTATTTTTCAGGGGTGATGTCAACAAGAGTGACTTCCTTGGCTATACAGCTCTTCACCACAGTGCCAGATGGGGCCACGTAGACATTGTCAGCTATCTTATCAACTGGGGTTGCAACCTCTTTGCCCTCGACAACGATCATCACTCAGCCTTGGATATGGCCTCACTGTATGAGAAACATGAGGTTGTTCGTCTTCTTGATGCTTCTTGTTCGCAACAACAAATCAAAAACCCCAAAATTGTTTCCAAATTGAAAGAGGAGGCTATCAAAAATGCTGATAGAAACATTAAACGATATGAAAAACTTCAAGAAGAGGCTGAAAAGCGAGCGGAAAAGGAGCAAAGAAAATTGAACAGCCTGAATAATGATTTCAAAGCGCCTGAAAAGAAATCCATTTTCAAATCACTGACAGTGAAGTTACGTGGTGGTAACACCAAAACTAAAGCCGGACCGGCGTATGGTAAGAGGTATTCTGACATGGCTGGCCTCACGTATGGGACCAGAACTGGGGTGGCTAAGAAGGTTCTGCAGAAGAAGACTACTAACCCATTGTATGAAGATTCATCGTTTAAGACGAGTGAGGTTGATGGGTCAGGTAAACGGACTGTAAAGTCAATGGATGGAGTACAAGGTATCCGTGGGGCTTCAGCTGAGGTGATGTACATGACAAGTCGTGGCGAACACTCAGCCAATGAGGTCAGCAGCTCGCGACCTGCATTGTACGAATTATTTGATCCAAACAAAAGCAATTTGAGTAAATCTTACAAGAGTGAGTCTGATCTCTTAGTAGACTCGGGCGTAGATAGCTATTTCAGTGACCATGAGGATGATGAGGATCAGCCTGGATTGTTGTACCGACCGGGATTTGGGCAGACGTCTTTCTTCAGGAAGATAAACCCTGCAATGTCCACATTACAGTCATTCGAAACAGGAGATAATCAAACGAGTGGAATGATGAATGGTGTCAACGGGGACTTGGATGACCAGGAGTTGACCAATGGCCAGGGCAGAGATGCCGACATGATAACTGCCAGAATGCAGGATCTTCCTTGGGACCAGGATGACCTTGAGAACCTGGATGATGACGATGAGGAAAATGAGTATTCTTCCTTGGAAATGTTCCTGATGTCTGCTGGGCTTCCAAATTATATTTCTCATTTTACTAAAGAAAAAGTTGACTTGGAATTGTTAATGAAAATGTCAGACAATGAAATGAAAGAAGTAGGGTTACCGTTTGGACCGAGGAAAAAGTTACTGGATGCCATGGAGCGACGGAAAAAGGTGCTTCAAACCCCTGTTGACATGACTGACTCATTCTTGTGAGGATGTTGAAGTGTAGATCAATATTTAAAAATTATGCATCATATGAATGTTTAAATTGATAAACAATACAAATGTACACATAGACAATTGAGAGATTTCGTGAATGGTGCCTAGATATGATGTAAGGATGACACTATTTTTGTACGTAGGAAAGATTTTCAAATTATCGAACATCTTCAATGAACAAGAAATGCAGAAAATGGCTGCAGACATGGAGTGTTTTGGAAAGGCATCTTTCTTGTTGTTACCCACCGAACACCGATGGATTGGTGCCTTTATTTACACCCATTACAAGGATGGATACTTACTTCATAGTAAGCTTGAAATAGAGGTGAAGATTCATTTTTTGTCTTTGGAAGATGTGAAAAAGTTTCACCCCTTTGCATTTTTATGTTGTATATTTTTTAGGTTATGCCAGATATTTGTTTACCAACATTACACCAGTATATTTAAGAAAGGACAAGTCATACAGGTAAACAAGATAGGTGTTATTTGTTATGATTAAACATCACCATATGTTAGGGTAGGTTAAAAAGATGAAACTGAAAGAGTAAGGAATTTATATCATTGACATATTTGTCATTCCCATTATATAATTTTCATTCAAGGATGAATATGACCTTTATGTTATCAAAGCTGTTAGGTGCATGAATGCCTCTATTTAAACATTTGTTATTGAAACATTTACACTTTTTAATGATAAATCATTTATTTAACCAAGAGCTTCATACCTGTATGTCATGTTGTATCGTATATATGTTCATCTGAAAGAAACACCTGTATATCAATCATGCAATGTGCCACATGTCGTCACGGGATCAGACCTAACAGATACCATCTGTAAGGGAGATGGTATTTATCACAGGTATGGTGTGGAAATAGATGTTTTCCAGCCTTTATTAGCCAACTTTTGTTACCCAGAATAAGCAAATGTGATATTTATCAGATAAGGAGTAAGTTCCTCTTATATTTCTCCTAAAATGTATGTGTTCCTGTATAGTCTGTTTGCAGTGAAACCGTACTGATGAATTTCACTTTAAACAAAAAAGTAAATCAAATAAAGTGAAATTAAGATTGCGAATCCTCATCATTTTACCTTGCCAATTGAACATTTGAATCTCAGAATTTTATTCATCTTAGGATAAAAGTTGTTTAACAAATGATCATATATTCAAATCACTATTATTGGTTTGTATTACAAGGGGGTAGGCGCAGTAGTTGGAACACTGAAACAATTGCACGTGCGGTATGTGATGAGCGTTAACTTAGACCAACCCTGCTTGTTCTCGGTGTTTCATTTGATGTGCATACACCCTTGTAATACAAACCAATAATAATGATTTGAATCTATGATCGTTTGTTAAACAACTTTTATCCTAAGTTTAATAAAATTCTGATATTTAAATGTTCAGTTGGCAAGGTAAAATTATGAGGATTCGCAATTTTAATTTCACTTTATTCGATTTACTTTCTTGTATAAAGTGAAATTCATCGGTACTTTTTCACTGCAAACAGACTATAGTCATCATCAACTCTCCTTATGTTCACATGAAGGGAACATGCTATACTACTCATCAGAAGTCAGGCCCTCACAGATTATAGTGATACAAAATGAATTCGATGGCCCTGAATGTCTTTGAGTAGTATATAACATAATGGAATGTAAAATAACATGGTTACATTGGGCAGGGAAGCCTTATTTATGTAAATTCTGAGACTATCAAATTTGTATTTCTCAGAGATCCTTATCATTACAGAAATTCTAGCAAGCCCATCCTGACTAAATTACTGATCAACAAATCTCCATACTTGTAAATATATGTATGTATACACACAGAAAAAAGTTACGCATCATGTTTTCATTCTCATATTGCCCTATTTTTTATGAAATGATTTGGTTATTTCTACACGTGATTTTGATCTCATTTTAATCAAAAGTGGCTAGACTTTTGCCATAATCATAGGAAACCTGTGCTGGCAACCAAGTCCATGTGACAATGCAGGTTATACCAAAAGGAAAGGTTGATGAATCAATGTGAAATAGTGTTGAAAGGTTTTCGCAAAATGGTGAGGGTGTTTTGCCCCAGTGGAGGCTCCCACCACAAACACATGCACAGAGATGTCTGCAGTATCACTGATAATCTCTGACAAGCTGGTGAATGTGCATTCCTCAAGATTGTCACAAGTACAGTCATGTCATGTGATACAATATATGCAGATAATGCAGCTGAAGGTAATAGCCCTGATATACATGTCATTAGATGTCGTTTGATTATTACTTTTGCTTCATAGATTTGAATAAGAGTATAAGAATATGGAGACAGTACCAATGTTTTTCATCAGATGAATTTCGTTTTTTAAACACACAGTAATCAGTGGAGACATTTTATCCGGGTGAATATAAACATATGGACATTTCAGTTATGGGGATATGTTGATCAGTTCCCTAGTAGATCTACAGTCCAGATTGGCAGGGTTTCAGTTTACTTAGCTGTTATATGGGCACAGTCAACTTTGATGAGGAATTGTATTTAACAAACACTAATAATAGGCAGATTTTTTAAACATATAAACAAATGAAATGAAAGACACATCATGCTCAGTTATTCCCTTCAACTAGTATTTTATTGCAAAATATTATGGTAGACGTGGCGCTGAGTATGAAAAGCAGAATGTCTAGAATAACTATGTTCATACTTGAGATCACTAAAACATCTGGATTGTTTACACAAATTGGAAACACTTGATAAGCAGATTCAGTCATAGAAACATGTCCAACAGCTGATTTATGAGGCTTTGTGTCTTGAGATGAAACAACTCCGATGAAAGGCTCTGTCAGGAGAGTAGGTTACTGTTGTCACAGATGATGTATCGAGTTGTAAGGGGAAGGGGACTTATTGGAGGGGTTGACTGTGTGTCATCATGCCCTAATGGCATGGAATGTTGCTCCCAATATCGATCACTGGATTGTCAAGTCCACCCTTCATACCATAGATGGACTGTTGCTGAATACGGTATTTAAACAATCAAACCATGTTTAGTTGAAGAGTGAATGACGTTTTGATGTATATTTATATATTTCATTCCATCTTGACACCTCTTTGCTGCAAGTTCATTGGCTTTCTCTATATTATTTGACATATGACTCTCTTGCACATCATAAGTTTTTTTGAGGCATTTAAGGTGTTTGGATTTAAGCATTCATACAGCTTTTTCTTGTATTGTTGCTTTAAGTATCAGTTCATTATATTATTGACAAATGTTTGAAAAATCAATTATATATGTTACTTGGACATTGATTAGATATAGATGCCATTTCTATGACAAGAAAACAATACAGAAGAAGGAACTGAATATAGTTTTATATCTCTGTAAACCCATTTTTAAGTTTACTCATGAAAATCTTTTGTTCATTACAAAATATGTTTTAATTATGTATCTTCTGTAGATAGAATCACTTAACAAAGATGTCATATACCCTGTCAAAGAGTGGAAGATAAATCCATGTAGATGCTATGGTTTCTGTGAGGAAATTGTATTCCCTAAACACAACTACATATAGCATTGTCTGGTCTGTGTGCACAGCACAAGGTGTGGCAGTTGTCTCCCCTGAGTGACAGTTTAGTGTATTTGCCTTTCCTATGTAAACTCATATGAAATGTTAACAGTACACTGACAAAAAACTGACAAAAATGACATCGGTTTAGTATAGTATAAGAGGATCTTTCCATGAAGTCAGATATAATGGATGCTTTTATTCAACATAGAAAACTTTATATAACTACCTCTGGTGTTGGATAAGTCCATATTCTGATATTTTCTACCATTTTGTCAGGAGTTAAGTTAAAGAGGACAATATATGTCATTTGATTTATTTCAGAAAAAAAATATCTTAAATTAACTTTAAAGGAGGGTAGGTTAAATGAGTCGAGTGGTGATATATCATGGTTAATGAATATGGGCTTGTGGGGATTTTGTGGATGCAATTATGCAATAATGTCTCCTGATTCTGAAAGAATACAATCAAGACAGACTGTCATCATGTGATGTATACACAATACTGTTCTCAATTTGTGCTGAATATATCTGAGCTCAAAAGTTTGGTATACAATGCCAGATGTGATTGTCAGTATGTGAGATATTATTACCTGCTGTAGACTGATATACTAGCTTCTTGGCTGTTTAGTTTCCTTCATATGGAACCAATATCTAACTTCACTCTATAGCAACATGATAGATATAGAAATATATTTATAAATACATAATTATATGTATTAGGATGTTATTTGTACGTGTAAGGCCTCTTGGTGCAAGTGAACTCTAAATATATATAGCATATACCCAAAGAATTGGAATAGGCTGTTATCCCAACATTATCACGGGAATATATGATCCATGATTGTGTCATAAGATTTAAATGAATCTTTAATTGTATTATTCCAGTTGCCAAAACTATATTATATTTTTGCCTATATCTATAGCTTCTAAAAAAGCCAACATACACATAGTTGTATAAAACTTAACATAACTTACTCTCTTTTATCGTCAACATACAAGTAATACACATTATATTGGAGAGAAAGGAAGTTAATTAGAAAAACATATTTATATTTCCTGTCTCAATTTGTCTACTGTCAAATGATTAATGCTTATTTCCTTCAGGTTTACAATAGGAGTTTGACATGCAATCTGAAGGATGTCATCTCAAGTTTTATTTGATTTTAACATCAACCAGTGGTCAAGGTAAAAGAGATGAAGAATTAGAGTAAACAGGCACATTTCTTTGGACTGATTAGAAGACATTTTGGCTGACTACAATCAGTGGATGAGGTTACAACATAAGTTTGCCACAAAATCTGATGAATGACTCTGTCAGTATCTTTTTTTTTAACTCCTGTCAGATTTCAACAAGGAAGGTGTTTATATATGCTTTGTTGGCGTATTATTGAATCTGTCAGTGTGTTTGCAAATCTTTCTGTTTAATAGAATTGGCTGATTTATTGATAATAGAATAGAATAATCTATGTAAAAACATATTCATTTGTGAAATATTGTAATCACTCTTGTTCAACACAATATGAGAGTGTAGAAGCAGTTCTAGAGTGGGTCTTTACAAAAAAATTAACCAGGGTCAAGGTTTTCTCATAAAACATGGTTGACTGGAATCCATCAGATTTATCTTGGCCCCGTTTCACGAAGCAATCATAGTGCTAGGATTGTCTTAACTCCTTCACTTGAACATATATACCTAAGACCCGGGTTCGAATGCCCACATGGGTACAATGTGTGAAGCCCATTTCTGGTATCCCCCGCCGTGATGTTGCTGGAATATTGCTAAAAGCGGCGTAAAACCAAACTCACTCAATCACTTGAACATAGACTTAAAACAGTCTTAGTGCTTACCCGTGAAGATCCGGGTTAGAATTGGTCGTAAGAAGCGACAAACAGGATCAGATGGTCAGATTCGCTGACACACGTCACCATATCCGAATTGGTAGATTAAAGCTCATAATGTTGATCACTGGATTGTGTGGTCCAGACTCGATTATTTACAGACCACCATCGTATAGTTAGAATATTGCTGAGTGCAACGTTAAACATCAAACAAACATGATTGCTTTGTGAAACAGGACGATGAGGTAATCCTGCAGCTATCAGCAGCATCCCAAAGCATGTTGCATTTTCAACTTGTTCTCCACAACCAGTGATGCATAGAACCAAG